CCAATATCTGACACTGTCAGAATTCTGAATATATGCTTTAGTTTCAAAGCATACTTGAAAAACAATACAGATAAATAGAGGAGTTTGAAATAAATTCATTTCCAGTATTATTTGCTATGACTAGATTCACAGAACTTGTATCACGTACACCATTTTATCTGTCTCCAAGTTGGAAAGCAAAATCTTTTTAAAAACTGTGACCGAAAAAACAAGTCACACTTCACTTGTCTATAATCTTTGCTAAGTGACTATTTCACGCCTTATAGGGCAACAAAATGATCCTTAAATATCTTACAATGAAGAAAGTTCAATATTTCTCCCAAGGATGGAAAGTTAAATGCCACTAACTACAAAAATGTCAGCTTCTTAGAACAACAAAAAATATTAAATTATGAGCATTCAATGGAAATTGTGCTATAACCTTAATTCAGCTCAGAATCAAAATTTAAAAGACCCATCTTTCACTTCAAAAAAGTTATTGCTTAGTCAATAAAAAGAAAACAATTAAGCCACAAGTAGGTACAAAAATGAGGCTTCCAAAAATTGGCGATTGCTAACAAAGTAATTCAAATTCATATCTCAAAATAAGAACACGATGTTTTATGGATCTCTAATTCTCTCACAAATAGATGAAAACCTTGTTATAAAGCAGCAATTCAAGTCCAGGAGAGAAACCCAACATAATAATCACAATAGACATCACAGCGTGTCATATGCTCTGAAGTTGCATTGCTTTTTGCCATGTGAGTTCTTCCAGAAGCTACATGCTTCCTGTAGAAGCAAATCTAACTAAATATGATCCCTAGTCACAGTCTCACTTTGGTCATGTTAAAGAAGTTACAGAAAGGAACTAATGCTCTACCTGGATTTTATTTCTTCTCTTGCTATGCTAAAAAGAAAACCTATGTTTCTATTAGCCCCATCTTTTCAGTATCACTACATATCCCAGACCTACTCACCGTTCTCTAAGTTCACTGATAAGGTCTAATTTTTTCATGACTACTTGAAGTGGAAAGAGTTCTTCATCTTTAAATGTTTTCTATCAGGAAGGGGGAAAAAAAAGAGAAGCTGCAGTCAAAGTAAAGATACAGTTTTCTTAGGTCAATTAACACAGGAACTGTGAAATCTCAGAGCTCATTTTTCTTCCATATATAATAGCAAGACGCCTACCATTTGCGTGCCAACACTTAGTGCCAAAGAAACAATAAGTCGTCG